TGTGGCTTGGTGGTAGAACTCCTGCCTGGCACACGTACAAGGCCCCGGGTCGGATCCCCAGCAACGCACACTCATGGGCACGCTGGACCCCATCATTTTTCTTGATGTTTATAGTCAGGATTTTTGCATTCCCAAATATAGTAACGTTGGCAACAAGAGTTAAACAGAAGCGTCACCAAATGACGCATTTGATTTTGTAAGAAGAAAAACTTTCAGCTGTAAAGTTATCGAATTACTGCTTCAGACGACAGCCAACATGGGAATGTGGTGGCCTCATTTTTTCTCTAAGGAGCTGAGGTGAGCTGGGTGTGGTGCACACCCCTGAAATCCCAGCAGGCTGAGGCAGGGATCACTGTGAGTTCAAGGACAGGCTGAACTACGTAGCAAGACCCTGTCTCAAAAAGAAAAGAAAGTGAAGTAAAATGGAAAAAAATGTATTTAAAGGTTTAAATGGATTTAAAGGTTTCAGAATTGTGGAAGAAAGGTTCTTTTAAAAGTCCCTCACCTGGTAGTATCACTTTTTTATCCAAGGCATAGATAAGGCTGAGTCAATATCTGTTTAAAACTAACAGTTTCCACCATTAAAGTAGAATATTTCCTGCCAAGACTAACTGGTGCAAGAGTCTGCAGCCCTTGAGGGTGCTGCCTTCGCAGTCCTCCAGCCTGCAGTAACTCGGTGATACTGCCAGTGTCGGCCTCTGCCCGGCCAGCTCAGAAGGGTCTAGAAAAGGCGACGTATTAACAGTCCTTATTGTAAAATAGAGATGAACAGGTGTGCAAAGCTTTGAAACGATAGTCTCGTTTTTGTGTGTCCCTTAATTAAAAATACAAATGAAGGTCATTCAGTAGTCTCCCGTTCCCTGTACCAATTATTTAGAAAACCTTCTTGGGCATATAGCCAGCATTTGTCTCTGGTTGGTTCTAGAAGCCAGATGCTACAGGAAATGAGCTTTTTTTAAGAGCAAAAAAAGTTTGTTGTCTTTAAGCAGATGAAGTAATGTCCTATTATACAAAGAGCATGACCTCACAGGCGCTTTCCTGTCATTGAGACTTGCTAGAATTCTAAACGCCCGATGAAATATTGAGGAGGCTGAGACTTCAGGTTACCAAGCCAGGAGGGGCTTTGTTCAACTGGAAACACGGAAGGAGCCAAGGCGGTTGTCTCTGCCCCGGCCTCTGTGTAGTGGCAGCGCGGGAAAGCGCCCTGGCTGCTGTGGAGCAGCGTAAGCAGCTCTGTTTTTGTGTCTTGGATGTCTTGGGTTTCCCAGGCAGGTGCTTGTGCCGCTGAGCTGTCCCCCGGCCCCATAACCAGTTTCATAACTGAAAGTGATCTCGAGGCATTTGGGCTCGGGGACAGGTCCTGCCGGGACGTGGCTGCTGGTTAGGAGCATCCCCACTGACTCCACTCCCTGCCCGTGAGGAGTCCCACTTGCGACAGGCAGAGGAAAGGCGTAGGCAATCCTGCACTGTGCTTTATGCCTGTCTTTAATCCATGTGACACTTTCTGTGTTTGCACATTACACACGCTACGAGGACAGAATTATTATTTAGCTTCAGCCACACATAACTCCTTTTTCATTTGGAGGAAACAGAATGTTAACTCGCTCAGGGTTGTGTGTGCTTTGCCCTGGCAGAGCTGGCGACAGATACCAGATAGGTAAGCACTGGTTTCTGGTTGCTGACTGTGAAGACAGTAGGGGAAGATTTCGTGCCTCAGCCGGGAGAACTGTGGCCTCTGCCTTGCGGGCGCCTGACCCTCTGCACACGTGGGTGATAAAGAACCCCGAGGAGCCCGAGTGCTGGAACCTGCCGGCCGAGCCACTGCCGCCCGCCTGCCTGTGGCTCAAGACAAATTTAACTGGGTCACTTCGCAGCTGGGTGCTTCAGGTTCACGTGGCCACATCGAGAAGCTGGGCTACTTGTCGTCGTAGGTTAGGCCGGGCTCCTTCCTGGCAGCCGCCTTATCCAAACGAGAGCTAAGACACGTCTCCACTGAGACCCTTCATGTCACCTCTCTTTCTAAAGAGGTCCATGGTCTGTTGTCCCCAAATGCAGAGGCTCACCTGCCTCCCCTTCGCTGCCTCCCCTTCCATGTCATACTGGCCTGCAGACCCTCCAGCTCACGCTCAGAGCCCGTCTGGACCTCCCCCTTCGTGTCAGTATTGCTGTTGTGCAGGCTGGGCCACCGCATCTCTAGCCCGGCTGATGGCCTCCTAAACCTGCTGTCCCTGCTGTCCTGCCCCTTGCACTTGGCAGCCAGCGAGTCCACTGGCTTCCATCTCACTGGGGTAAAAGCCGCAACCCTGGGCCTCCCTAGGGTCCAGCCAAGTAGGCCAGCCTCGGGGCCCTCTGAGAGCTCCCCTTGGAGTTTGCTTTTGCTTCTAGTGAGTTCTAGTCCCAGGCCTCCACGCTGCAGCTTGCTCTGCAACGTGCTGTCTTGCGTGTTGTCCCATTTGATTTTCACAGTCTTACATTGACAGAGCTGTCGTCTCACTAGACAGAAAAGTATGGAGAGCTTAAGGTCATGCTGATGTGTTCCCGTACATGGCCTCGAGCGGGACCTCCGGCCTGCCCGAGCTCAGTGTGCTTCTTGCTGTGCCAGAGGCCCTCAGAGTGTGCCGTGCGGAAGAGAATTGCAGCCCGCTTGCGCTACCAGACCACCGTGTACTTTTACTAAATTTTCATTTCTGAGATTGTGAAATCAGATCCTGTCTTCCATGCATATATACTTAAAAGAGAGTTGAAAATTAGGTTTAAGGTAAAATATAGTTCCGTGCAAACTGTAAGTATGAATTTAAAGGCCACATTACTGCTTTGCTTAGCTGGTTTGTTCATTGTGGATAATGACATGAAAACAAGCCCGCCACCACCTGGGGTAATTTTCTTCCTGTTGGTGCATTTTCTCTTTCCTTGACTTAGTTTTTATTCCCTGTAGGAGTCCCAGACATGTGATAAAAACCTGCTTTGAGTGTGGTAGTCCCAACCACTGGCTTCGAGGGAGCCTGAGGAGTTCCTGGAAGGTTTCCCTACACCCTGATCCAGGGGCCCGCTGGAAAAGTGGTTGTTGGTGTCTGACAAGTCCATTCCTTTAGCAAGTAATTAATATCCCAGAAGTCAGGGCACTAAGTGATGGTACCTTCATAATGACCACGTCTCCCTAAAAATAGATTGCTGCCTTTCTAGTGCTGGAAAGTGAGGGTATGTAAAAGTGTGCTTTATCTGTGAGACAGCCCCAGTTAAACTGAGTTTTAATAATATCCAGCTTGGGCTGGTGAGATGGCTCAGTGGTCTAAAGCACCTACTTAGAACAAGCTAAGCCAAGCAAAGCACAGGGACCGCGGTTCAATCCCCCAGCACCACATGCCAGCCAGCCCCGCCCCCTGGTGGGCTGAGCTGGCCACACACACAAATAAATAAATAATTTTTAAAAAATAATAATAATATCCAGCTTGCTTTTTTTCTAGATCTTTCAGTTTTCCACTGAGATCTGGCCTGCGCAGTGTGCTGGGGCTCGCTTGGTCCCCTTCTGAGGACAGGGTTGTATGACAGGCTGACGCAAGCTTGTTTGTGTTACTCTAAGACGCTCTTGTTGTGCCAGATCTCCAGCTTGCTGCTGAGCTTGGGAAGACGTTACTGGACCGGAACACAGAACTGGAGGAGTCGCTCCAGCAGATGTACACCACCAACCAGGAGCAGCTGCAGGAAATCGAGGTAACTCACGCTGGGCGCCGCTCTCACGCTGGGCGTGCTGCTCTTCTGCCAGCCGTACGTTGCTGTGATAACGGTTTGGAGTAAGGCAGCATTTAATCTCTAAAGCAGATTTTTTTTAAACGAGAATACTCAAGGGGCCAGGGAGATGGCTCAGTGGAATAAGTGCTTCCCTGGCAAGCACAAGGGCCTGAGTTCGATCCCTGGTTCCGCAAAAAAAAAAAAAAGAGAATAATCAGTGAGGTGGGGCTTGGTTTCTGTGTTTTGCGTGTCTTCCTAAGACCTAAGTGCGCTCTAATCTCGCTGAGCCCAAGGTGAACAGCCTGCAGTTTGCCAGTGCGAGAAGCAAGAGGACACTGTGGCTCTTTGTTTTTCATTTTCTTTCTTTTAAAAATGAATCATGTGAGCCGGGGCTAGAGCACGGTAAGCGGGAGGTCCTGAGCTCAGAAAGAACGCTACAATACTTTAAAGAGGAGTAAAGGCATAGTAGGATGAGTCACCAGAAGCTTACCAAGAACCCACCTCCACACTGAGTCCCCGCGGACCCCCTCCCGGGGCCACCCGCACGCGCCCAAACACCACCTCCACCGCTGCAGTCCCTGCCGACCCCCTCTCGGGAGCCGTCCCTCACACACTGCCAAACACCATTCCAAACTTGAGTTTACGTTAAAAAAAAAGAAAAAATAATTGTTCCTTATTTTGTGTGTTTAAATTCCTTGTGCCATTCAAGGAATTCATCATAAGATACATGTTTTTTTTCTTCTTACTGAGGTCTTGATTTATTTGCATTTTTTTCTTTAAATATTACTTTTTGCCTAGTTTGAAAAACTAATATGAGGGTACCCCATTGAGGACTCCTCCTGTCTGAGGAGCTATTCCTGTGCCCCAGTAACCTTTCCTAGTCTTAAAAATGATAAGAACAGAAATGAAAGATGCTGGCCTAGGGCTTTAAAATGGAAGGTGCTTAAGTACCTTTTAAGGCATTAATATTGTGTTTAAAAAGAAAACAAGTGGGGTTGGGGAGATAGCTCGGCAGTCTAAGCACCTGCCTGGCAAGCGCAAGGCCCCGGGTGCAGTCCCCAGTACTGCATGCTGTGCTGGCCCTAGAATGATAGGATGTTTTAAAATTAGTATGTTTCTATTTTTAAAAAAATAAGTAAAATTAAAGTGGGAGGTGCCCTTTCAAGTAGCCTAGTTATACGTATGTAGGTCACTTGACTATAAAAATAATCATGGCCATTAGCCAGACAGTGTCCCCAGGGCACCCTTCTCCACACCCCAGACTCCACCCAGCCCCTGAAGGGGTTTGCACTAAATCACAAGCCCATGCCTTCAGATGGGTAGACACCGTGCCAGTGTCTGCACAGGAAAGCGTGGAGGGCCCTGGAGCAGTGAAGAGGTTTGTCATGCTCAGAGCTGGATGGTTCTGATGGTAAGCGAGGACGACTGAGGACACGAGGCAGGTGCTAGGAGCTCAGAGAGGTAGAGTTACTTATATAGCCATTGCCTTCAGGGCAGTTACCTTAGGCGCTTTAACTTTTGTATACAAGTAACCCTTTATCATCAAAACTAAGACAAATGTATAATCTCGAAATACATTCATTGGATACATTAACTAAAGTTGTGTAACAGGAAGCCCTTCCCCTTCGCGAAGACTTGATGAATACAGCCAGTGATGTGATTCAAGTATGTTTTTATAATTGTAGGAAGGCATCGCTTGTAAGGATGTTGAGATTGCCAGGTATGGTTTGTAACATATTTTACATTAAAAGAGCATAAAAGCCTGGTGTGTTGCCCATGATTCCAGTACTCTGGGAGATGAGGCTGGAAGATTGAAAGCTCAGGCGCAGCCTGAGTGCTTGGAGACTTAGCAGGATCCGGTCCCAAGATTCACATAAGGCTGAGGCGGCGGCTCAGCGGTATCCCGAGGGCTCACCCCCTCGTAGCGCAGAACACTCACAGAACGTGCTGTGCCCAGAGTTTGATGGCCGTAGAACTTGCTCTTTAGGATTATTAAGCCAAAGTTGTGATGTAATCAAGGACATCTTGTTTTTTCAGCTCCTTGAATGATTGTATGCACTATAGATCCATACATTCTGGGGCACAGTTTTGTATTCGGATTAGAAATGTCTCAGTGCATTGGTTTCCTTGAAGCGTCTCTAAGTACTCTAACTTGGGGGGGGGGGGCTAACATACCTGCGTCTACACGTGGAGGGAGTCCAGAGATCTGCGTAACTGGGACGTCGTGCCCATAGGCTAGTGTGGGGGGTTATAAACACTATTGCTTTGTGTCCCTCCCTCCCTTTCTGCAGTATCAAGGATTAGACAGGCCAGATGGTTTGTGTTCTAAAGAACTGAAAAGAGCTTTGGGCTCTCTAACCTACCACAGCCTCTCATCTGGAAGGTGTTGCAAAGCATCGCAAAGCATCCACTTCAGATCTTAATGATTAAATAAGTACAAAGTGGAACACATGCACAAGCCTCTTCAAATAAATCTAGTCTGGAATCTTTTCAGCAACATTTTCGTGGTCTCTTATTTCTAGAGAATGCGACCCACTGGTGCGTAGATCGGATGTCGCAGAATTCTGTATTTTGCTCTATGTCTAGAGCTGGTTTTCTAGCTTAGAACAACCACTGCCTTAGAGTTCCTCACTGCCATTACAGTTGGTTGTTTTTGTTTTTGTTTTTGTTTCTTTTTATAATTGCTTCCTAAAAATAAATAGCAGTGACACTAACTGGGGAGCCGAGAGGGGAGCACTAGAGAGGCCCGTTAGCAGCCGGAAGACTCGCACGGCTCCGCCCTCTGGCCACCCAGGCTCAGCTCTCCAGGATGCTTAGCAGAGATGCTCCTGGGAGGGTAGCCAGGCAGCCGGAAGGCTGCTTCCCCACTCACAGATGACCTTCCGTCCGACAGCCCTTGGGGTTCTCCCCCATGCTCTCTCAGGGCTCTTTTCTTACTTCCAGCTTGTCATCTTTGTTCTCTTTTCTTCAAACTTTTGATTGACGTATACAGGCAGAACAGAGCATAAACCGAAGGGTGTAGTTTGGTGAATTTTCATGAAGTAAACAGCTGTGCAGCCAGCCCCAGATAAGAGCATTATCAGGCCGTCCAGCCCCCCCGCCAACCAGCTGCCAGGGCTGGCACCCCAAGTTGGGTTGGGATCGGACTCGGGACCGTGGGCTTGCCATGCAGGTGCTTATGCCGCTGAGCTGGCTCCCTGTCCCACATCAGTGTGCTTCTGAGCTTACTTAAATGAATGGACTCGCTTGTACAAGTTTTAAACTACCATTTTATTTTTATTTTATGTTACTTTGTCTTATTTTATTTGTGCTGGGCATTGCACTTAAGGCCTGTGTGTGCTGTAACTGCCACCCCTGACCTACAGCCCCAGCCCCTTACCTAACTTTTTAAAATGTTTATTGGCAGCTTTGATCATTATAAAAAGTGATGTCATCATTTTTTAAATTTAGAACAATAATATAGTTGAAATGAAAGGTTGGGAATATAGCTCAGCAGCACAGCGCCTGCCTGGCAAGCCCATGGTCCTGAGTTGGATTCCCGCTACCACAAAAAAGACGATCAAGTCAGCTCCACCCCACCACCTAGAGAAATTTAAAATGAGTAAAATGAGTTTTAAAAAAGATTGGGGGGAGGTGGGGAAGATTCAGGAACACACTGGTCAGAGCGGATGAAGGATAACACAGAACTCATGAAATACTAGGGTAAAATTCCCCAAACTCTGGCTTCTATAACTTGACAACTCGGAACTACCAGAGGCTCTTCTATGACACTACCACCAGTATTATTTCAAGACTCCTAGCGGGTTTTCGAACTGGTGTGGTGGCGCAGCGTGTAATCTCAGCCCTCGGAAGCTGAGCCGGGAGGAGCTCGGGGAGTCTGAGAGCAGCCTGGGGACACAGAAGTGAGCACAAGGCCAGCCCAGACTGCACAGCGAGACCCTGTCTTTTCAAAAACAAACTATTAGTGGGTTTCAAATAGTCCTCATAAAAATTGGTCAATTTTTGTGTAGGCTTGTTTTTTGGTAGCAGACATTGAGCTCAGGACCTTGTGCCTGCCACGTGGTGCTGCCACCGAGCTGCACCCCCGCCCTCTGGTCAGTGTTTTTGACAGACATTGTGTGTGTGTGTGTGTGTGTGTGTGTGTGGAACCAGGGATTGAACTCAGGCCCTTGTGCTTGCCAGGGAAGCACTTATTCCACTGAGCCATCTCTCCGGCCCCTGTGACAGACATTTTTTAAAGTTAAGCAAACGATCAAGCTACTAAAATCAGTGGTTCCACAGGCTTCACAGGAGCCTGTAGCAGTTTACTCATCCCTAATTCTTTTATTTATTTATTTTATTTATTTATTTATTTATTTTTGAGACCAGAACAGGTAATTTTGGTCCAGAGTGGGTGCGGCAGGAGCAGAGGGCTGCAGGTCGCAAGCAGGTAGGCCGCTGTCTTCCCAGAGGCCCGCTCGGTCCTGCTTGGGCGCCTGCGGAGTGGTTTCCCCTGCAGGGCGCCCTGCTCTGCCGCCGCCGCAGTCCCTGCTCTCTGGGGATTCGACCGGCTGCTGCTGCTTTCACTACCTGTGCTGGCGGGCAGTGGTCTGGGTTCCGCCCCTTTGAGGCGCTGGGGTTAAACCGGGACCTCACTCCACTGGCCTGGCCGGTACTCTGCGCCGCAGCTCTTGCACTCAGCTCCCCGCTGTGTTGTTCCGGCCCGGCCCCCACCATTTCTCAGTGCAGTGCTGAGGGCTGCTGCTCTGAAGCTTTCCGCTGGAGGTCATGGGACACCTGCAGTACGTACCTTCACCTCCACCTCCGGAGAGCTGAGGGCAAGCTCTTCCCGCCCTTCCCAAACTGTGGCTTTCCACCTGTGGGTTGCAAGCGGTAGGACGCTCTGGCTGCAGGTTAGGAGATCAGCGTGTGGGCCTCCAGGTGTATTTGCAACTAGCTAGAGCATTTAGGCTGGCAAACCCCTCATCCTGTTGCTCCAGTGAGGGCGGGAGGTTGGCGCGCTCGGACCCCAGAGGTCTGGAGCCGTTGTAAGCAGGTGGAGTTATGGATGTGATATGGGGGGGGCAGCGTGTGCTGTTGCCCGTGTTCTCAAAATTTTTATAATAAAAGAATGGTAATTCTGAGAAAATAAGCCTCTAGAACTGCTGTAGAGATCTTAGAAATAAGATCTACTTCCTAGCTGCATCATAGGAGGCTCTTTTTCATCGTTGTGCTTTTCTGCTCCCCAAATTCCCTGTAGAAGGAAATGTGTCGCCTTGATCAAGGGAAAAAGGTTTTCCTTTTTTGTTTTTTTTCTTTTTGAGACAGGGTCTCACTATGCAGCTCAGGCTGCCCTGAGCGCAGGCTGGTCTCAGACTCACAGCGATCCTCCTGCCTCAGCCTCCCAAGTGCTGGGATGATGGCCATGTGCCACTTTCCCCAGCAAAGTTCTTCAAAGGTGCTAGTAACAGCTCTTCACTGCTGTAGGAGGTCATTTGGACCCTAACATCAGGACCTGCGCTGTGTGCGTGCACTGAGGACAGCAGCAGAGCCGGAGCTCCGCCCTGCTCCTGTGGCTCTGGCTGGGCCGTGCGCTGTCCCCGTGCTCCAGCTGCAGTTGTGCAGGTGCACACAGCCGTCACGCGAGCTGCGGCCTTCTCCACTGTCGAGGCCTGTTTTACAGCCTTTGTGAGTGCCAGCATCTGTCCTCAGCCAGGTGACATTCTGTGCAAAGCTCTGGACAGCACGGTCACCCGAGGCAGTCACGCCCTGCCCTCCTCACACGGTGACGCTTCTGCCACCCTTGTTACCCTCCTCCCCTCGTATGCTCGGGCCTTTCCGCTGCCGAGGGTGACAGTCAAGTTCATTCGAGTCTGCATCCGGGACTCTCAGCTGAGAAGCCGGCCGGCTAGGCTGTCTGCACTGGGGGTGAGCGGAGGGAGCGTGCTAAGCCGATTCCTCCTGCGTTCAGAGAGAGCTGTGTGCTGGGCAGGGGCCAGGCCCAAGGCTGGACGCAGCGGCGGTGTCCACTGTGGGTCAGAACGCGCCTGAGACCTGGCTCTCCTTCCAGGTTGCTCATCAGCTGAGTTAGACCCCTGACCAGATACCCGTAACTGCGCTGGGAGAGGTGAAGGGCTTTTCTGATTAATTTAATAAGATTAAACTCCAGCCATGTGGAACTAAGCTTCTGGCCTGGCTCTAGATTATCCTCAAGGCCGAGTCTTCTTACGACAAAACTGTGCCATTCTTAAACTACTGTTGTGTCTTTGTGTACCAAGACGCAGGCGCACCGAGCACGTTTCTGTGTGCCTTTGTGTGCACGAGTCATCAGGCATGTTTGCTGCTTATTGACCACTAATGTAATGACATACCCTTAGAAAGAGGCAACAGCGTGCGACCCCTGTAGTGACAGGACCGTCCCCCCTCCAGATTACCACGGGATGCTGGTGTCGTGGGCCTGTAACGGGGTGCAGCAAGCTCTGACAGCGGTGGGCCCGCCCCCCGGGAGGCTGTGACTGGCGCGTCTCCAAATCTTCGGCTCCATCTCCACGTTTCACAGTCCGAGTTGTGTCTGGCTCAGGGAGGAATCATAAATAAAAGTCTAGAAATTGCCATCCTACATTTTTCGCTCTTACTGTGTGCAAGGCCTAGATTAGATGCACAAGAGCCTTTTTCTTTTGCAAGGAGGCTGACACAGCCAGGTGCCGCGTGTGACCCCAGCTCGGGGGGTCTGGGGCCGGGAAGGCCAGAGGGCCGTCCAGCAAGCAGCTCAGCAACGCCCTGTCTACAAGCAGCAAGCACTTGAGCTGATTGTTATTTCCTACAGGGAGAGATCGTGAGGGGGCTCGGGGAGGAGTGCTGCCTGGATCTGGCACTCTGAAAAGGCTTTTGAGCACTAGGTTTGCCGTGCAACTGAGTAGGTATCTGGACTCTGAGCCTTCCATGGACCGCGTCCTGGTGGTGTCTGGTCTCCGGGGATCGCCTTGCAGTACACAGGTCGTCTGCTACCCTGGGTCATCAGTAGTACCTCAAGCTTTTCTTTTTTGCTCTTTCTGATTCTATGCAGAGAAATAGGAGTCTCTTATTTGGAATACATAACTACTGTGTTTTAGAGTTAAGGCGGAGGAGAGTCAAGGTGACCTAGCACTGTAGCATTAAGACTGATTATTCTTCTTTATCCTAGGGCATTTGAAAGAAAGCGGTCTTAGCAAGACCAAAATAATCTGGTAAATTTAATAACAGCAGTCTTTGTAATGTAGTAAACTAAAACATCACTGGTTTACTGCTTTTTGTTCAGAGTACCTCACTCAGGAGGGAAAAAAAAGAAGTTTGTTTCCAAGTGAAAAATCAGCCAGGAGGGCTGGCGAGATAGCTCAGCAGACTAAGCACTTGGGGCCAGGGTTTAATCCCTGGCACTGCATGCCTTGCCTGCCCTGCCCGTGGGCACGCTGAGCTAGCGATAGAGTCCAGGCGTGGTGGCACATGCCTGTAATCCCAGCACTAGGGAGGCAGAAAATAAGAGGATCACTATGAGTTCAAGCTGCATAGTGAAACCCTGCGCACACACGCACACACACACACACACACACACACACACACACACACAGAATCAGCCAGGCATGGTGCTGCACGCCTGCAATCCCAGCATTTGAGAGGCTGAGGCAGGAGGATTGCCAGGAGTTCCAGGCCAGCCAGGGCTACATGGCAAGATCTTGTCTCAAAAATAAAAAAGCCCGTACTTCAGGCTTCCTCCTTTCTACTACACACGAGTTCTTTCTTGGTGGTGTAATTTGGTTCGGTTCGGCTCTGGGCACAGTCTGCCATGTCCTTCTGGCTGGTCTGGAGCTCCCTGTGCAGCCCAGGCTGGCCTCGCCCCTGCAGTGGTGCTCCTGCCTCAGCCTCCCTGTGCTGGGATTCCAGGAGTGGGCCACTGTGCCTGGCCCGTGTGTAGACTTTAGTGGTATTTTCCAGGGCTGTGCTCTTGCGACACCATCACTATCTCCCTTTCAGTGCTGCCCTTGCATATAATTTATGCATATTATGCGCTCTGTAAATTGGATCTGCCCTGCGGTGCACAGAACTAATGGTGAGCCTTAGGGGGGAGATACTAGAGGCTGGCTTGGGCGCATTTTCTCCTACGGTAAGTAGTTCTGTGGGAATTTAATATTCTTTTCATAAAATAAACCTGTAATAAAAATTATACACTTGGTCTTTGTCCCTGGCCCCTGGCAGAGAGCTCCCAAAACCTTTGCAATTCCTGAGTGATACATGCACGCGAGGAGCAGGGTGGGGCAGAGACGGAGTTCAGTCACAAGTGGCCATAGTTAGGCCGTGGGAGTGAAGAGCTGGGTAATCTCACGCTTCCGACCTCACGGCGCACTCACGCGATGGGTGTGCGTGAGCTGTGCCCTGGAAACCGCTAGCACGCACCCACTGGCGGGCTCGGGTGTTCCCGCTCGGGTCTGGGTGTCCCCGAGCCGCACGCAGTCCTGGGGCTTTTCAGAGCTGGCCGGGCCTGGAGTGTGTGACTGACTCGTGCGTGCGGTGCTGGGCCTGGGCCAGGTGGCGCCTGTGGGGCCGGCACCGCCTCATCCCGGTGGCCCAGAGCGGGCACAGAGGGGCCGGGAGCGCGTCTGAGGCCCTCGCCCGCCTGCAGCCTGCAGCCTGCAGCCTGCGCCCCACCGCGGCTGCGGCTGCTCTGCCAGGCCACCTGCCTTGGAGCAGCCGACCACGCCACAACCTCTGCACACCGTAAGCAGGCCCTCCCTCCCCGCACTGTGGTGGCGGGTGTTGTATCTCAGCATTGAGAAAAGGAACTAAGACCCTGCGAACCAGAGAGGCGGGGTTGGAGCACCGCGAAGCTCCTGTCCCGCTCGGTCGCCCGCTCACGCCTTTCTTCTCTTGCAGTATCTGACCAAGCAGGTGGAGCTCTTACGGCACATGAACGAGCAGCACGCGAAGGTCTACGAGCAGTTGGACGCCACAGCGCGAGAGCTGGAGGAGACCAACCAGAAGCTAGCCGCTGACAGCAAGGCCTCCCAGCAGAAGATTCTGAGGTCGGGGCTCGAGAACCCGTTGAAGCCCCAGGGGGTGTGGGTTACCATGGAGTAGAGCTGGCCCTTCCTGGAGAGTGGAGATGACCCGGTGGTCCTTTCCAACTGAGCTGAGCGCGGGAGACCAGCCCTTCCGCGCTGACCCTGCCCTTGGTTTAACACACGGCAGCAACGGGCTTCTCTGTTCCTCGCAGCCTGACGGAAACCATTGAGTGTCTGCAAACCAACATCGAGCACCTGCAGAGCCAAGTGGAGGAGCTGAAGTCCTCTGACCCGGGCCGGAGCAGGCCGGGGAGGGGCGGCCCGCAGCAGCCGGCACCCGGCTCGGCCTGTCTGAAGGAGCTGTACGACC